AAAAAATAACACAGAACAATCTAAAAAAAAAAAAAATAAATAAACGTTCAAATGAATTAGCATCGCCTTCCCATTTGTCCTCCTCTTGTAGATCCAGGCTAATGTTGTTAAAATTGGAGTCCCCTACTATCACTGCACATTGTTACACACTTGAGACTGTGTTTCCAGCAAGAGCAGATGTTTGTTCTGTAAGGACTCTTTGACAAAATATTGCACTTACAAATATACAAACTTCAGTAGTTCCTGTGGAGCAGGATTTAGATTGGTAAGAGCTAAAGCACTGTTTCTCATTTCTCAACCCCAGCTGCAGGGATCAAATTGGCAATGATCTAAAGTCTTCCAAATCATACTTTGAAGATGGACACAGAAAGTGTGGAAGAAAGCTGACCATTCAGGCTGTAATGACTTTGTTTATGTTGCGGCATACTCCTTATACTTGATGTATCTGAGGAAGTCCAAAGTATTGCTTGGTTTTTCCTCTATTCATAGATAAAAATCTGACCACTCGGATGCAACTTGGGCAGAAGAAGCAGTTGCATCAGCTGAAGTAGCGCAACAAGACTGGATCTCCTTTGATTTATAAATAGGCTGTATTATCTCACATTTTCCATGCCCAAACAACTGATGTTGAGACACATCCACCCAATGCTTGGATGACTGGCAAGTTTTGCAGAATGTGGAAGTTTGTCTTTGTTGCAATTTCATGGATGCTGAACAGCTTCTTCATCTTTCCTTCAAAATGCATCAAGATTGCAACCATGTCAAGTGGAAAAGTAAAAGAACAAGAATGTCTGTGTCATCAGCTATTACAGTCACTAAATTTCCTTCCGTAGCTAGTTTGAGCATTTCAAAAACAATTTCTATGTCTGCATCTCCCTCACTTTGGACTATCCAATGACTGTTTGCTTCCAAGGAACGACATAGCATCTCGATAAACTGATCTTTGTTCTTCTGAGAGGAAGAGTTCTTGATGAACAGCAACTTGCAATCCATCTTCAATTTTTTATGTTAGCAGAAATCTGAGCTGCTCTTAGCTGATATTCATGGTCTTTTATAGATGGGCCTGCATTGTAATCATCAAAAATGATACTTGATGGCCTGTACTTGGCCTTCGTGTAGTTCATGTATTGTGTAACCACATTGCTGTATGTCACTCTAGGCAACCACTAATACAAATTATGTCATTTTATTGCTAAGATTCAGGTATGTCACATGGCTTTGTTTATCTTACTCATTTGGAAATTCCTGAAAATTAAAGTTGGAAATGGAGTGAGTTCAAACTTGAAGAATGGCATCACATCTTCGTATCTTTCCAGCAGAACAACCAGCCTTGAAAAGAGGGCAATAGGATCAACATGAACATTTTGACAATCAATCTTTACACATTTTTCCAACCCAACAAGCATGCGCACTTGAGAACTTCTTTTCAGTGAGCTCTCTAAAATGTTAAAATTGTCAAGCTTCTGGATAAAGTGACCAATCTTCTTGATGATATCACAACTGATTCCAGCATTATTGGATGCTGTCAAACTGGATGATACTGATCACAGTTCTGGCTGGCTTGGGTTAAAAGGGATTGTACTGAGAGATCTAATTGAAGACTCTTCTGACGTGTGCTAGTCAACAAGCTGCTCACTGGTTCTGTAGGCAAGACCATTCAATGTTGTCATGGCATCATGCACTTGGGCGCAGATGGGTCTGCTATATACCCACATCAATCTCACTGATTCCATAAACCCTTATCCGCTAGCTAGCCCACTTGTACTCTTTATGGATCTCATTATCACTTGTCCAATAATGAGGTCAGTTGACAAGCCAGCTCAGTAACAGTCACTGCATTGCACAGAATGAAACCCATACTCTAAGAACTGTTAACGCAGCTAAGGATGCTTTTCATGCAATTCTAGAATTCATAGTAGGTACAATCGTGCACTCTTTGCATACTTGAAATGCAAATAAATTTAGCATTCACCCCAAGATGCAAATTCCAATCCCCTTTCTTTCAGCATGAATAAACAGCCTAAGCATGTCAATGCCAGAAAGCCATAACTTTGCTGCTCTTGATTTGCTCCTGAGCTCCTGCATCAGGGTACTGAGCACTCTTTGCAGCTTCATTAGGGCTGAAGATTTGCCACTGTCATCAGTACTGATCTCATGTCATTTATTTCATCCACATCAGACTGTTCTAGTTTCTCAGGCAAATAGCCTTGCACCACATCATAGAAATTGTCTTGAAATGCACCAGTATATAGAAGCATGACTTCATTTTCCATGCTGAAAGTAACCTCTCCCTCATCTGCCTCTGCTACATCAGCTGAGTCCAATAACTGAGAAGTCAATAGGTCAGCATCTGCTGGAAGCACAGAATCGAGAAGTTTGCTCATTAAGGCAGCATGTACAAGGAAATGTGCTTGTAAATCTCTTGATACAGCTTTCCCAGAGAAAATGTGTGACACTAAAGTTTCCGTATAGATGGTAGTCAGTAACTCAGACAACTGAGCACCATTCATAAGACTTTTTTTCCTTTCTGGGAGGATTAGTTTTGTTATGAAGAACTCATTGAAACAGCCTGATCTAATTTCTTATCCCAAAAGAAAAGATTGTGCAAACATATTTATATATAACTTGTAAGTGAAATCATGTGAATCAATTACAGACAACAAAAGAAAGAACTTGTTTCCATTTCTATTAAGTACATATATGCCACTAAGCATCTCGTAGTGTCCGAGGATGTAGCATCCTCTTACATCCTTGCAAAAACCCAGCAATTAGGAATACAAGAGCAATATGGATATTCAGGTTTCTTAAACTTGTATTTCAGAACAGCATTCCTCTTAGAACCCGAACAACACAAAACACATTCGTTGGTAGCATAAATAATACAATATGAAACCTTTTCATCAGCAGCATTCAAGAAGAAAAGTTAGAATACAGACATTAAACAAAATTCCTGTATTTCTTACCATTCGCTCTGGGTTGGTTTTTTCACTTCATTGATCCAGATCAGTCCAAATAAAGTCCATATTAAAATAAATCTCTGTGTCTTGAATGCCTATTAGTTAGCTGATACTATAAGAATATGAAGCAGTTACAGATTATATTGCCCAATCAGTAAACATAACCTCAACTACTAAACATTACAAATAACTTGTACAACACATTTGAAATAAACTGTGCATGAAAACCACTTCCCAGTGTAAACTATTCCAATGGCTAAGAACCATGTTTCAATTTGCAGCATCTGATTTTTGCAAAGAAAGTGGCACTCGGGGAAAACAGCAGTAGAAAAAAAAATATCCCCAAGGATAGAGAAGAGTTTTTATTTTCTTGCAGGATATAAAATTCTGCTTCCAATGGTATAAAACATGTCTTGGTAACATTTTTTTTTCCCTGAGCTACACCTTATATTCCCTCTGAATCGACCAGACTATATATTCTTATCTATCCACCCCATATATATATATATATATATATATATATATATATATATATATATATTACATGAATCATTCATACAAAAAAAAACAGTGAAGTTAATGATATAAATGGCGAGAATACATCTTCGCAAACAAATTTATTAAAATTACATTAACCTACAAACCTCTAGATGAATGTTATGATCTCTGTTTTTAATAAATTCAACTTGTATAAGGTCTTTTTTTGCTAGTACTTTCATCTTTTCATACATTTATATCATTAACTTCACTAATCTATTTTTTGTAGGAATGATTCATGTAATATAAATTGAACTACACCACACACACACACACACATATATATATATGTATGTATAAAAATGAACATAGAAGTCAACACTTAGACGCGACAGTCTTTCATGCTAGATGCAATCATCAGGCCATGACTTACATTTAGCATGAAACAGACTGTCGTCTCTAAGTGTTGACGTCTATGTTCACTTTTATATTTACACATGCTCTATCTCTGATATTGAGCACTTTATCTCATAAATATAGCACATCTTAAGACTATATTTCTTATATAAATAAATAAATGTAAATTCTCTTTCCTCTTACTTTCTTTTTCTTACAAATTCTTTTTGTCTTTCTTTTCCCTCTTTCAATTTATCAGCCTTTTTCTATCATATTTTTGTTTTCCTTTCTTACATTTTACTCACTCATCTTTCTTATTCTCTCATTCTTTTCTCAATATTTCAATATTTACTCTTTTTTTGGCTTTTGCTCTTGGGATCACCTTCTCACTATATATATATATATATATATATATATATATATATATATATATATATATATATATGTATATGTGGTTCCAATAACGTGAATCAATTTTAAATGCAAATTAAGTTAAAGCAGCTAATGATTTTTTTCTTTCAGATTTCCGAAATTAAGTCTTTGGCAATTTCAACCCAGGAAAGATTAACAATCAGACAATGTGTTACAGAAGCCTATTACAAAAATGAACGTTCAAACAGAAATGCATTTTGCACACTTTGCCAATTTTTTGGTCAACATAATCGACCAACCGAGAGAGCAATTGGAAAAATTGTACATAAATCAAAACAAACTGGGTCGGTGGCAGATGTGAAAACACCATGCATGCTTGTTTACACCATTCAGCTGAAAACATTGCTGCAGTGCACGAGAATGTGGCCAAAAATCCAGACATCTCTACTCCTCATCATGCGTAGGAATTGAACCTCTCCACAACAATATTACATCGAATTTTGACATAACGTAAAAACCCAGGGTCACAAACTCACATCAATCCAACTAAATATCACTGATATTGAGCACTTTCCAATATATATATATATATATATATATATATATATATATTTGTCTCCTTAGTATTATTTTTGTCCTTTTTTTTTGTTGGGCATTTTGGCCAATTACTCAGAGAAAAATTTTAATAATAGCTTGTTTTTATAATGCAACTCAATTTTGAATAACAGGACTTAAAAATATCTGTGATTTTTCTCCCTGATTCTTGTGCTGCAAGGTTTGACTGTTAGGAATTCTCAGATGTTCTTAGCTACACTTTTTCTATTCCTCACTTTGGCAGTGTCACAAAGTCTGGTTTCAGGTGAGTTAAAAAAAAAAAAAAAAGAATGATTCTTGTTCATCTCTGTGGCCAGCAAAAAGGACAGAGCAAATTTTCTGCACACTTAGAAGCAACAAAACAAAAGATTAAAACATGTCAAGAAATGAAAAGTCAGTCCCGGTTTCCACTATAATAAATGGACAGAGAATTGATTTTCTTTGACTCATTCTTTTTCTCTCTTTTGAGACAAAAAAAAAAATGAAAGAGAGAGAGAAGAAAGAATGAAGAGGACAGAAAGAGAAAAAGAAATGGAAAAGGGAAGAAACAAAGGAAGAGAGAGAGAGGAAAGAAAGAAGAAATGAAGAGGAAACAAAGAACAAAAAAGAGTAAAGAAAAGAGAGGAAAGAAAGAAAAGAAAATAAAGAGTAGAAGAAAAAGGAAACTAAAGAAAGAGGTAGAAGAATGAAAGATAAAGACAGAAAAATAATGGGGAGGAGAGAAAAGGAAAAGTAGAAGAGAAGTAAAAGAAATAGAGAAGAGAGGAAATGAGAAAGATGGAAGAAAGAGATAGAAGAAGAGAATAAAGATAATGTTAGAAAAGAAACTCTCCTCACTCTTTTCTTTCTCTGGTTCTTCTGTCTCTCTTTTATTCTTACTTTCTATCTCTCCTCCCACTCTCTTTCATTCTCTTACTCTTGCATTCATACTCTCTCACTCCTTGTTCTTCCTATCTTTTCTCTCTCTCTCTACTTTCTCATTCTTCATTCTATTCTCTCTCACTTTCTCTTTCATTTTTCTCTCTTGTTCCCTCACTCTTTCATTTTCTTGTTCTTTTGTCTTTTTCTTTCTCCTCCTCCTCCTCCTCCTCTCTCTTTTGTTCTCTCACTTTGTTTATTCTCTCTCTTTCATCTTTATTTTCTGTTTCTTCTTTCTCTTTTTTTTCTCTGTAGATTCCTTTCTGTTTCTTTCCTCTCCTCTCTTTCTTGTCTTTGTTCCTTCTCAATCTCTTTCCCTTTCTTTCCTCTCTCTTTTTTTTTTTTTACTCTTTCTTCTTTCTTCTCACTCTTTAATCTTCTCCCTTCATCCTTTCTTTCTTCTCCTTCTCTCTTTGTTTCTTCTTTCTTGCTTTTATTTTTCTTTATCGCTATCCATTTTTCCCCTCTTTCTTCTCATTCTTTATTTTCTATGTCCTCTTTCTTTCTTTTTTTTTTTATTCTTCCTCTTTTCTTTGTTTCCTTTTTCTTCCTCTCTTTGCTTTCTTTCTTTCCTCTCTCCCCTACTTCTTTCTAACTTTTTCTTTTCACTTTTAATTCTTCTACCTCTTTCTTTTCTCTTCCCTTTCTTTCTGCTCTTTCATTTTCTTTCTTTTCACTTTCTCCATCTTTCTTTTGTTTCTTTATTTCCTCTCTCTAATTTCTTTCTTTTTCTCTCACTCTTCTTTCTCTCATTAATTCTTCTTTCTTTCCTTCTCTATTCTCATTCTTCTTTTGTCGTTTCTTCTTTCTTCCCACTCTTCCTCCCTTTTTTCTCTTATTGCCTTTTCTGTTTTTAGTTTCTTCTTCTACTCTTTATTTCCTCTCTCCTTTTTCTTTCTTCTTTTTATCTGTTTCCTCTCTTTCTTTTATCTCTCTTCTCTCTGTTTCTTCTTCTTTTTCTTTTCTCTCTTACTTTCCTGCCTCTCTCTTGTTTCTTCTTTCTGTCATCTTTTCTCTCTCTCTCTCTCTCAATTTCGTTTCACTCTCTCTATTTCTTTCTTGCCGGTTTCTTCTCACTCTCCTCTTTCATTCTTTCCTCTCGTCTTTGTTTCTTTCTTCTCTCTTTTTGCTTTTGTTTTTCTCTTTCTGTCCGGTTTCTTCTTTTTCTTTCTTCTCTCCCTCTTTGTTTCTTCTTTTTCTCTTTCCTTTTCTCTTTCATTCTTCACTCTTCTCTTTTTGCCTCTCTCAATCCCTCACACTTTCATTCTCTTACTCTTTCTTCCGTTTTTCTAATTTCTCCCCACTTCTTTCTTCTACTCCACTCTCTTCTCTCTTCCTTTCACTATCTTTTCTTCACTTTCTCCTCTCTTTCCTCCCTCTTGCTTTCTCTCTTTTTATTCTATATTTCTTTTCTCTCACTCATCTTTCTTTCATCACTCTTTTTATTTCTTATATCCTCTCTTCACTCGTTTTCTTCTCCCTCTATCTTTTCTTTCTATCTTCTCCTTATCCTCTTTTTCTTCTATCTTTTGTGCTTTCTTCCTTTTCTCTCATATACTAAGGAGACACAAATATATATATATATATATTGGAAAGTGCTCAATATCAGTGATATTTAGTTGAATTGATGTGAGTTTGTGACCCTGGGTTTTTACGCTATTTGCGACCATCAGACAAACTGATTAATTTTTTAAATTTTGGATTTATATATGGTTGCGTATACTGATGTTTTTATAGAAGTGTGAGGAAAAATTGTCATCGGAATGCCCCGTCTCACACTGTTCACATATGTTTATGTTTAGCTCCAGTGTGCGCACGTGTATGTGTCAATGAGTGTATGTTTGCATATGTATGATAGCGTAATTATGAGTGACGTTCTGATGACAATTTTATCTCCCACTTCCATAAAAACACCAATATACGCAACCATATATAAATCCAAAATTTAAAAAATTAATCAGTTTGTCTGACAATTGCAAATGGTGTGAAACCCAAAATCACAAACTTAATTATATGTATTTTAAGACATTTTTTATGTTTATACCTTCTTTATATAGATATAAATATTTAAGTAAATGCTCTGTTTATAATAAACAGTATTAAACAACATTTACCAGCCTGACCGAGAAATTGTCATAGAAAATATGTGTCTCCGACAGGAATCAGACCTGTATCATATATGGAACCGTCATATAGCCTGATGTGCCTTTAACTGATTTGGCCACAGAGGATTGTTTGGTTAGCAAGGTCGATTTTACTGCTTTTAAACTACAATCTTCCATGTACATTCATATCTGCTCATGGCGTAAACAAATGACGTCACACATTATGAAATGGACAAAGTCCGACAATTATTTTAAGACATAAAAAGAATGTACAAACATAAAAAATGTCTTAAAGTAATTGTTGGACTTTGTCCATTTATGTATATATTATATATATATATATATATATATATATATATATATATATATATATGTGCACAAGACAAAAGTAGACAAAGCAACCATAATAAGGCAACAAATGTAAGAATAGTGTTAAAACAAAGAAAGGAGACAGACAAGTAATTGTGGTGTTCTGACTTCTAATCAAGAACAGAAATATGGCAAAATGTGATCAAGAAGTGGTCTATCTTATTGGCTATGAAGAAAAATCCCTGTATGATTTGTCTGTAAATTTTGTGGAGGGGGTGTTTTTGCAGTTATTCCTTTGGATTGGAACCAACATTGTCCAACAGAAAAAATTATTTCTAATTAAAAAAAAAACAAAAAACAACAGCTTGAAAGTCATGTGATCAAAACTGTGTTTTTTTTCTTTTTTGTTTTTTTCCATGGTGAAAAGAATATGAGGACAACTTAAGGCTTAAACATAGAAATATTAACAAAAATCAAAGACTTCATTTTGCTAACCAAATTTTCTTCCATTTATGGAGATAAATTGATTGTCGTAAATTTCTAAAATGAAAAATTATCAATATTATTAATTTTAAATTAGTTTTTCATATTTTCGTCAGTTTTTTTTTGTTTGTTTTTTACATTACTCTACAGGCAGGATTAATAAAAAATGTACGCAGATTTTTAAACTTGTATTTTTTTTTTTTAATATTTTTATTCGGGCTTCGCTCAAAATTTTATTTACTGTTACAGGGTAGATAACTCTTCAAGTCCATTAGAGTTATTCCCCTTTTTAAATGCGTGTTTACAAGAAAAAGTCCTTACGCTTAAAATTTAATACTTTAAAAAGTTTTTCTTGATGCAGTAGCCGATATAATTTATAAAGTCTCATAATTTAAGTCTTACATTATAAGTCTTTAATTATAAATTGTATCGACAATTGAATTAAGAAAAACTATTAATAACCATATTTTGAGGACCAGCCACGAGACGAGATGCTATCGAAAAGGTTCCGTTAATTAACATTTTTTTTGGTTAATGGAAAATGATCAATTTCTATAAGTCAAAACAAAACCAAACAATGTTTGAGTGGGTATAAGGTGGTGATAAAATATGAACGAAAAAACGGTTATTATAATTAAAACAATAATTATGCACTGAGAGAAAAAGCTAAAGATACAGCAGTAAATTTTAGATATTTAATTATTATTATTAATTTGGGGGGGGGGGATTCAATGTGTGTACTGTAGCCGAATTCAGTTAATTTCCCAATGCTTTTGATTGTTGCTGTTCATTTTAAATATCTCAAACTGACAAGAAATTTGAAAATTAATACCTTTGGAAACTGTGGTTTTATGCCCAATGCCAAAGAACAGCCAAAGACATTATCGAAAGAACTCTCAATAAAATTCCATCGTTCCAGGGTGGAGTTTGTTACCCCTATAGATTCCTTTATCATGCTCATGTTGCTGCGGTGGTTTCCATAGCAAGTAGGGTTTGTACAGGGTGGAGCTGTTACCCCTGTAGATTCCCATGTGGACCATAGGGCCACAGACTCACAGAAAAAAAAAAAAAAAAAAAAAAAAGAAGAAAATTAAAAAGACAGGAACGCCAGAAAATAAAATCATCTTTTTGGCGAATCAAAAAAATTAACATCAAGAGATCTTTTTGATGTTAGCTGATAGCAAAGTTTGCACCAGAATTTCAGACTCTGGTCAAAAGGATACAAGCTCACAACTCTGAGCCAGATGAGGAGAATGACGGCAAGAAGCACAACTCTTAGAGAAACCAGTGATGCATGAAGTAATTAAGAAGTCATTTTCTAATGATAATTTCTGTCCATCTTAGGGTCGAGAAAAACATAGAAATAGTGTCAGTCGTCTTTTCTTTTTACGTGCCATGTCCTTTCAGGACATTGGCGATCATCACTCTCTCTCTCTCTCTCACACACACACACACACACACACACACACACAAATTCAAATTTCCAACAGCATTCATTCATTGGACGGGAAACAACGCTGCCATCTTATGCGACAATTTTAAAACCGCTATATTTTCATATAGTAGATTTTGTGTACTTTTGGGAGAATCGGCTCCCAGAAGTCTCCCCAAAGCTCATGCACTGATTGGTCAGTATCAACCAATCAGATTCTCTGCATGTGGAGAATGATTCTTCCTGCGCAGCACTCCTGATCCAATGACCACTTATAAAAGCAAAAGAAAAGGGGAAATGCACCAGTGAGACTTTAGCTGCCACAGAAATCCACAACAGTTGAAGCTATGCACCCATCTTCTCACTCAACTCACAAACTGCATATTCTTTCACACTTACATAAATTTTCCTCTTGCACGTCAGAACTGTTTAAAAACATCTATAACAGACTAATAACTCTTTCTTCTCTTTCAGAGAACTTAAATAGACTTTGATAGTCAAAGAGAGACAACTCTTGTCTTACTCATTGCATGCTTTTTCTTACACATTCTTTATTGTATACATTGTTGAATACAATTTTTATATATATTGATACCTTTGCTTTGTCACTTTCTTCACATCAGTTTGGTTTCCTAATCAAAATTAAGTAAATGTGGTGGAAGTCTGCCACAATGGCTCTCCCCCTCCCTCTATCCCTTGCAGCTCTCAACAAGTTCCTTCCCTCTGCTTCCTCCCCCAGACCACATTCTGTCATCCACTTGCTTAAGTCTGCCAGGTTTGTCACGCATTGTTTTTCCTTGTCTCTCTTTCCCTCTATTCGACCCGTGAGTATCAGATTCTCCAGGCCCTCCTTCCTCATTATGTCCCAGAAACTTCAGCTGCCTCTTCCTGATGTTAAATATAAGCCTTCTCCTTGTTTGCAACCTCTCTCATTGTTACTCACACACTCAATCCATGATATCCTTAGCATCCTTCTGTAGAACCACATCTCAGTCGCCTCAAGTCTCTTATTAATTTTTGAGGAAATCATCCAACATCCACTGCCATAAAAGATGGACAGATGTCACGTAACAGCTCAGTATTCTTTTCTTTGTTACCAAAGAAATCCTCCTGTCTCGCAGTACTCTACCCAGCTTTTGGAATGGGTCCTTGGTGGTCCCAAAACGCCTACAGATCTCAGTGTCGCACTCTCTCAAGACGCTTCCCAGGTATTTAAACTTCTGCGTCTGCTTGATTCTAATGTTCCCGACCTTCAGATCGCATTTCGGGCTCATCCTTTTACTGATGACCATGCACTTTGTTTTCTTGAAGTTTATGCTTTGTCCTTTCTTCTCACTCTCTGTCGCTACCTTTGTACGAGATTTTGTAATTCTGTGCCTGCTGTCAATATTGTCTCATCTGCATATCCTGATAGAGTTTCCAATTCTCTCAGGATTGTCTCGCCGTATAGGTTGAACAGGTCAGGTGAGAAGATGCATCCTTGTCTTTCGCCCCTTTCTATTTTTGTATATTCACTGAACTCATTCTCTATGCACATGCACGCTGTTTGCTGCCAGTATAGGTTCTTGATTATTCTGATATCTTTCCCGAATATATCGAGGTTGCCAAAAAAAGATGATTAATCAAGAGAACAGTAGATAGAACTCAGTGTCAATCTACTAAGACAATTACTACTATGAGCAGAATTTGATTCCGGAACAACTCACTACCAAACCAAAACGGACATTTCTCCAGACTGCTATCAATATCTGCTTGATGAATGAACATTTTGCTGCACTGAATATCAAAGGACTCACTATAAAACAAATAAATAAAAATATATTATTTATTTTATATACCCTTGAGTCAGTTTGTTTTATTCCAAAGTTTCTGGTAAATAAAAACCAAGAAAATCCTGGCCCAACACGTCCACAATGCATTGCAACATAAACTGATTTATTTGGATTAGTATCATATGGTAGAGT